TTGCATCGAATAATAGTGTTGGTAGTAAACTTGTTGGGGACGAGGCGGAATCATGGATGAATCAAGTTGAGGTCAGTAAACCAACGTATCCAACAGTCGAACATGTAGCATCCCAATTTTTCAATGTAAAATTTTTATTTTAAATATAATCAAAACACCCAATTATCTTTTATTCAAAAATTAGAATATTTCATAATAAAACAGTTATCAGAGTATAATCCCAAAATCACAAAGTTGCGAAAAAAAAATGAGTGTATGCGCTTAGATCAAGTCGGACTCTTCCCTTTCAAACTGAAAGTACCTGAAACCATAAATAATAACCTGTAAGAACAAAACTTAGTGAGTTCACCAAAATACCACATATCATACATACAATATAGAATGTTATGTGCCAGCTATAGTCTTGCTATTATGCTATGAACTATATCATGTCTTTCCTTGTCACGTCGCAGTCCAAAACCCTGGGTCTTACAGACAAGTGCCAAGAGCCACCTCCTGGTCTTCCATGCAAGCATCACAAAGACAACAAACATACAATCTACAAATCACAATCTACTTAACTGCCACGGTCCGAACCCTGTTCTTGCATACAAAATTACCAGGAGCCACTTCTGGGTCTTACATACAATGCCAAGGGTCACCCCTTGGTCTTCCAATAATACATAAGCCAATAGGCCGGGCATTGGTGCCTTCGACCCATAGTATAGTAAGGAGACTCTCCTCTGAATCAAAACAATAGTTGAATAGGTCCCGACTCCGAATATCAACTTTACCCATTACCTATTCATCAAATAGTTACCAATCCTTATATACAACTCAAAATACCTCAAATACCCCTAGGTCAAACTTGGTCAAAATTAAAAGTCAAAGTCAACAATATATGTCGGCCCAACACGTCGTGTTTCCCTTGGCCACACCATGTTCCTCCATCATCCAAACAGTTAGCAAAACCCCCCAACCAACATATCGTGTTGACTTGCAACCACACCGTGGTTGCCTGAGTTTCAACAGCTTAATACATGTAGCTGTTTTCTTCGACTCTAAGAGATCCAAAGCTCAAATCTAGCCCAAAATATGATCTAGAAGGATAATATTTCCAACTTTATCCAATAAGATTACCCACAAAGGTCCAAAACCCAATCCATAAAGCTTAATAATGCAAGGGCTTAACCAATAATCACCTAATCCTTAAAGTATGAAGCCCATCCTTTTTTTATAAGTGAATCTAACACGAAAACCATCCTAAAGGTTAGTGCTTTATAGACATACATGTCCAATGCATGTCTTGAACCCATATTAGGTCAAAATGAGGACTTATGACCTAATCTTTATGCATGACATCAAAACTTAATTATAATCTATCCAAGTCATTACTAGTTCATCTTGACCCATAGATTCATAAAGTTGTAAAACTTTATAAGGTCTAGCAATTCCATCATTCAAGAACAAGAAACTAAAGGGACAAAACTCAAGATCTAACAACTTGGAATGATAAAAATCGAATCTTGGACACTTACAAAGGTCCAGAAGAGTGCCAAGATGAAGAATGGGAACTTGCTTGCTTGATCTTTGCTCCCTTCCTCATCCTTCTTCCTTCTCTAGCTTCAAATAGTACCAAACTAGCTCAAAAATGGTGGAATGTGATTAGGGTTTGCAAGGAACGATTTGGGGGAATGGAGGTTGATGTGTGGGAGGCTATGAGGGGTTAAGGATCTTTAAATAGGGCTCAAACCCTTAAACTTTAGGGTTTTCTCCATCAGCCACCATCACGCCTTAGTGGCCCCAAAATACGCTACCTAAAAGTTTATCGCCGCACCGTGGTGAGGTTTCATCACGCCGTGCCAAAAAAGAACTCATACACAAATCGGAAATAATTCCCAACTTGGAATCGACTGTTACAGAACATTTGGATACGATTTGCTCCGAGCGGTAAATTAAGGATTGTTTGGATTCATTTTTGAAAAAAAAATAGGTTTGAAAAGTTGTAGAATTGAGAGAGTTGTGTGTGATATATATGTTAGATATGGGTTGAATTTGTAGTTGAATTATTAAGAAAAAAAAATGAAATTTAACTGTTTGCTAACGGTCCAAAGCGAGCAACGGTCACAAAAATGGTGCGGTAAGGGCTTATGGTGCGGTGGTCATACCGTATTGGCTTGTGGGGGGAGGGGGGGGGGGTCGGTGTTGTGTGCACCGTACACTATGACGCTACATCAGCCACCGCAGTGTGCGGTTTAGAGTTCACCCACCGGCCCTATGAGTAATATAAGTCCTATTTTTTTTTTAAGTTGTTGGTGATTTTTGTTAAATATCTGTCTTCTTAATTTTACTCTCCTTTTTAAGTATCTATCTTCTTAATTTTGCCATTCTTTTTAAAGATAAATTAAGTAATATTCTAACCACAATTTAATATCTATTTGAAAAAAATAATAAAAAAATCGCATTTAACAAAATAATCACATAGCCCGAAATGATATTTCAGACTAAGAAAAAATATTTTTTTTTTTGACAAAAAAATATATTTCAGATTGACAATGTGAATTTTTGGATTATGGATTGAAATTTTGAAATTCTGAAAAAACTCAATAATTTCAACAAGTTTGAAATTGAACAATTCCATAACTTTGAAGACAATTTTTTTTTATTTGAATATAATAAAAAGTTAAATAAAATAATAAATGTGAAGTATACACGATATTAGAATATATAATCATAAATTTCATTGAAAAACAATGACATGAAACTCTTCAGAATGGAAATTTCGAACATAAATAAGGAGATTTTTTTGGAAAAAACCAAAAAATATGACATTTGGAGTAAGTGATCATTTAAAAAAAAATGATTATTTTTTTTTCAAAAAAATTTATTTATATGGTTTAGTTTGCTTAATTTCTCATTTTTTAAATTTCAAGTTGATTGTTGTGTTTATGCTTCCCTTCTCCCCCTTCACATTTTTTTCATTGTTTACTCACGTTACGCATATTATAGGTAAACTATGAAAATAGTGTTTACCTTAAAGGGATGTACGACCGATTTAACCTCCCAATTAGGGATGAGCAAATGGACCGGGGAACCGGTCGGAACCGGTACCGGAACCAGAACCTGCACCGGAACCGGAGCCCGATGGAACCGGTCGGGCCGGGACCGGGACGTTATTTTTATAAATTTTTGGAACCGGGAACCGGTAGAACCGGCAAAAACCGGAATCGTATGATGCTATTTTTCAAGGACCGGTTCCAACATATGAAGACACGACAAGAACCGGTAGGAACCGGGAACCGGTAGAACCGGACCGATATAACCGCCGGGCCGGTTCGGTTCTTGATTTTGGCCGAAGTTGGTTCCCGGTTCCGGTCCGGTTCGGTCCTTTTGCTCATCCCTACTCCCAATTACCTAATTCCTTTGATCTATTTTGATTTTTACATCATTATATAATTGCATCAGCCATTAGGCATAAACACTTGATTTAAATAAACAAATTAAAATTTTAATATTGAATTAACATCACACGTTCTTTTCCAACTTTAAACAATCTCTCCTCCTCCCTCCGCTCATATCAACTCAACACATATTCAATGAAAATTGATCGACAAAAAAAGGACGGTGGGTAAGAAGGGTAGGGACTAGGGACACATATAAGAAAGAAAAATTATCAACACACCGACGATAAATAGAGAAAAATAAATTTTCGCTTACGTCGATGATAATATGAGTGAGAGACACTAGGGATTATGTAATATTTAAAATAATAATAATAAATATTAAAATAAATTGATTATTTCAATAAATTTTATAGTTGAACTAACATATTTAGTATCTAGAATGATACAAATATGACAAAATAATAAGCAATAAGGTTATATTTAGACCAAAAAATCAATAAATAAATACACCACATGGATCGAACAAGAAAGACTTGGTACGTGCCACCTAAAAAGTATAAAGAAAAAAGCGACTACTTACTATTCCTATTCTTCATCAATATACTTCTTGTATCCCTCAAATCCCTCCGTATAATTTCTTCATCTCTCTCTTTCTCTTTCTCTCTCTCTCCCCCTAAATTGTTGCTTTGACAGACGCCATGATACAGTAGTACTACCCAATCCTCAATCGTTGATTTTGATTTTTTCAATCAGTTTCAACTTTCAACTCAAACGGTGGGGAATTCCTGCGTATCCGATTCCAGTTTTGTTTTCTTTCTCCGTCTTTCACCTCCATCACCCTCTGTTCTCATCGTCTCCGACAACTCACAACACCCGGATACCGTTTTCTTCAGATCTGCCGCCTTCTGTTTGACCAGGTTTGATATATTTCACTTGCTTGGATCAGGATTGTTCCATTTCTATTGATTGATCCGCTACTTCTTTTAGATCTTGTTTTTTTCTTTGAATTTCTATGGAAATTGGGTAATTCTGATCATATATATTGGATGTCGGTAGCTCATATACTATTGAGAATGTTACAATTTCGTTTGATGAATGATTTGATCTATAATTATCGAGTCAATTCATCCGAATTGGGTTTTCTTCTTTGGCATTTCCCTCCAATAGAGTCTGTATAACGATTTTCTTTTGGCTGTGCTGTTCATCGTCAGGGTTTTGATAAACTTCTCCAGAAAATCGAGTGTCGATTTGGGAGTCTATAATCAATCATTATGCTATAGATGCATACTTCAGTGGTTTCGATTTATAATTTCATGTTAGATTGCTTGTTTCATTTTCAAGCTTCATACAGTTTAAGGAAACCTTCTTATACCTTGAACCCTACTCTAAGGTTTTAGGAAAACAGTCAACTTACCTATTGTAATCGTTGTAAATCATAATTTATAATACTATTTGCTTAGTCAATGATACGCATTAACATGAGTATGAGCTTTATAATTCTCCTAAATGAACTCGTTTTTGCAAACTATTTTGAATTTCCTTAATTTTGATAAGTTCTCTCTTGATTTATCCTAAACCTGTTTCAGCTGAAGAGTATTTGCATCCTTCTTGGGGACAATGAAAAAGGCCTTTGATCAAACTGTCAGGGACATGTAAGTTCTATTCTAATCCAATAGATTGTAAATTTGTAATTAAATTTTTATACTCTCATAATGCTTGATCTTATAATCGATTCCATGCAGTAAAAGAGGAGTCAACAAAAAAGTTCTTAAAGTCCCTTCAATTGAACAGAAGGTAACTTTCTTCCTATCTTTCTCTTTCCCCTTTTCAATTTATACATTTTGAATCATTTACCTCACATTATCAACATTTTAATTAATCTTTGTTTTAATGTTTTCCCAGGTTCTTGATGCTACTAGTAATGAGACTTGGGGTCCTCATGGATCTCTTCTTGCTGATATAGCACTCGCTTCAAGAAACTAGTACAATACATTTCCTTTTTCCATTAAAAAAAACAAAAAATTAAATTCTTTTTTCCTCAAAAGATTCACACCTTTCATTATATGCAGCCACGAATACCAGATGATAATGTCTATAATCTGGAAACGTGTTAATGACACTGGAAAAAACTGGCGCCATGTATACAAGGTTAGTTTAGTCAATATGCAAAAGATCACACCCAAATGATTTTTTCCATTAATCTAATAGTTATCTTTTTGTGTTGACCAGGGTTTGACTGTTCTTGAATACTTGGTAGCAAACGGATCAGAACGTGTCATAGATGAGATTAAAGAACATTCTTACCAGATAACAGTGAGTAAACTTTTACTTTATCTTTAAATTATGTGCAAAACTTTTTTTTTTAATGATTATTAATTACATGTTCTTGTTTTTTCTGTGTTTAGACATTGTCTGAGTTTCAATATATTGATCACACTGGTAGAGATCAAGGGAACAATGTAAGGAAGAAGTCACAAAGCCTTGTGGCTTTAGTCAATGATAAAGAAAAATTACAGGAAGTTAGAGAGAAAGCTGCTGCCAATTGGGACAAGTGAGTTCTTTAAAAACTTTCCAAACATGGAAAAAGTAGAAACTTTTATTATCTTTTTTTTTTACAAGAAATGTGACAAAAAGAATGGAATGAAATCAGGTTTCACAAAACATCAGGAAGTGCAAAATACAGACCTGGATCATATCCAGGAGCAGGAGGGTATGAAGATGATAGATATGGAAGCAGAGATGATAATAGTAATAATGGATATGGAAGAGAGAGAGAAAGAGAATGGGGTGAAGATGAATACAACAGAGGTAGAAGAAGCTTTGATGCTGAAAACTATGGCAGAAGAAGTAGAAGCTCTGATAGAGAAAGGGAACAACGTGCTTATGAAGATGAAGCCCATTATTCTTCAAGGTATGTGGATATCTATTCTTTAGTGGGACCCATGGTTTTGTTTTTATGGTGATTGATGTATGTGTTTCTTTTTATTGCAGAGGAAGCAATGATCAATCTCAGAAATCACCAGAAGGGGTACCTCCTAGTTATGAAGATGCAGTGGCTAATGGAGACCCAAAAACCTCACCTCCGCCAGTAACCACAACTGTTGCTCCACCGCCAGTAACCGCCGCACCACCTCCACCTCCGCCTGCAGCCGCCACAAACGCTGAGAGCAACGGTTTTGATGAGTTTGATCCTCGTGGTTCTTTTCAAGGTGTGATAATTTACTTTAAAAGTTGTCTTTGTAGTGTTTTTTTTTTTTTTTTTTTTTTTTTTGTATCTGAATGTGTGGTTGTTTATGAGCTACAGCAACAGCAGCCCCACCACCACCGCCGCCGCCACCAGTATCAGGTGGTGGTGACATGGACTTGTTTGGGGACCCGTTTTCTTTGAATTCATTGGCTCTTGTGCCTGTTACATCTGTAACTTCTGACACAAACTCAAATCCTCTTTCTGATCAGACATCCACTGTTTCTAGTCAGGTACCTAAACTACTACCCTTTCAACTATTATTATTTCCCAAATTACTAAATTACCCTCTATGCAGGCATTTGAAGACCCATTTGGTGATGGTCCTTTTAGAGCTGTTCCTTCTACAGCTGGATTTTCAGCTCCTCCCCAGTCAGCATCCGCCATTGCTGTCGGTCAAAGCGGTCAACCACCACCACCACCACCACAACCAGCCGCCTCGACACCAAACACTGTCGATAACTTTGGATATGGCAGCAGTTTTGACCAAAATACTGATATTCTAGCGGGTCTCCTGCCACCATCTGGACCTTTTCAGGGTCAACCACAAGAAAGTCAACCTCAAGGTGGTGGTCAATTTATGTCCCATGGTGGTCAAACCGCTGCTCATGGTGGTTTTCCTCCACCTCAAATGGGCTCTGGTTATCCCGGTTCTAACGGTCAACCGGCTAACTTTTACGGTGGTTATGAACCACAAGGCTCTTCAGCTCCACTTCCACCTGTGCCGCCAGTCACCGCCACACCTCCCGCCCAGTCTAACCCTTCAAGTTTCTATCAACAGCCACAGCCACAGCCAACCCTGAATTCTTCAACCGGTGCTCTTGCTTTAGTTCCTCAACAACCAGCAAAATTCGAAACAAAATCCACTGTTTGGGCTGATACATTAAACCGTGGCCTTGTTAATCTCAATATAGCCGGATGTAAGTTTTATAAACTTTTATTTAAAAAAATATATATTATCAAATATAATATTAATAAATCTTTTTTTGCAGCTAAAACGAACCCATTGTCTGACATTGGAGTTGACTTTGAAGCTTTAAATAGAAAGGAAAGGAGAATGGAGAAAACCAACACAACCCCAATGGCCACTTCAAATGTAGCCATGGGTAAGGCCATGGGGTCCGGTTCGGGTATCGGGCGGGCTGGTATGGGTGCACTAAGACCCCAGCCCAACCCCATGATGGGCCCAGGTCCCAACATGGTGGGACCTGGTGGGTACCCGAACCCACCTATGGGTGGGTTCCAAATGCAACCTCCAACTGTCGGATATGCATCTGGAACTTACAACCCAATGATGGGTCGTGGTGGTGGTGGTTATGGGCAACCACCACCATATGGTGGTGGCTATAGGTAAATTTACGGTAAAGTTTAAGGTAAGAAGTGAGAGTGAGAACCTTCCGGAATCTATGACGCCCAAAACACGTGAAAAAAGAAATGATTTGGGCCCGAAAGTTTTATTTGGGATGTGTAAAGATGGAAATGTTTTTTTTTTTTTTTTTGTTAATGTATGATTGATTGTATGATGTAATATTTGATTGATGGGGTTGATATTGTTAGATGTTGTGAAGGGTGTATACCAATACCATTGAGGAGATAAACATAAGAACAAATTTTGTGTTTTATTATTTGTTGAAGTTGAACCATGTATTGTCAATAAATACAAGGGAGGGAAGAGGACTTGTCTTATTTGCTATAAAATGACAAATTATTTACTTTAGTAAAGCAATTTTGGAAGAAACCAAAATTACAAATAATAGGAGTTCTAGGTTTTGCAAAATTAAAAGTCCAAAAGTAGATATCTAAAGCCCATTTATAGTTTTCATTAAGTGACAATATCTATTTCTTTTTCTTAATAGTTATGGCTTGATTAATTTGGACGTTAGTAAATGCATGGTCCAAACTCCAAGCATCTGCCATAAATGCTTAAACAGTTGAAGGAGATATCCTAATAACGTAGACGCTATAAGTTGCAACAAGTATATAAGTATTAAACTACTTAGTAATACAATTGAGTTTTGATAGAGACTATTGGAGACTAGGATAAGGCAAAATACTCAAAACCAGTTTGACTTCATGTGTGGAAAGTTGACGACTGAGATGATCCACATACTTAGACGTCTTATATAGAAGTTTAAATAAAGAAATAAAAGCCTCCAAATGGTGTTCATCAACCAGGAAAATGCATATGACAATGTTCTAAGGGAGACGGTTTGACTTCATGTGTGGAAAGTTGACGAGTGAGATGACCCACATACTTATATAGAAGTTTAAAGAAAGAAATAAAAGCCTCCAAATGGTGTTTATCAACCAGGAAAATGCATATGACAATGTTCTAAGGGAGACGATCTGAAGGATGTTAGAAGCCAAAAGGGTTTATAGGTGTTATGCTAGATCTATCTGTGACATGTATTGTCGGTCTATACTATTTGTCAGACTTCATTTGACAACACAAATTTTTTTCCTATTGGAATTAGGCTCTATCAGGGTTCGATTCTTAGCTCTTACATCTTCACCCTAATTATGGACGAGGTATCTCACAAGATTCAGGCACAATGGTGTATGGTTATTGCTGACAATATTGTTTTTATCGAGGGGATTTGGACTGACCTAAATGGTAGGTTGGATACCTAGAATGGTAAATTGGAAGAAAATGAACTTAAGATTAACACAACTAATAATAATCATCTATGGTCCAATTTTAGTGGGGAGCAAAATGGCGAAAAGGTAGAAGCGTGTATCCGTGTCCTACAACTAAATGGAAGCTTTAAGTTTATAAGGTTTCACATTCATAAGTATGTAGGTGTTCAGGATGATGTCACTTACCTTATACAGGCATGATAGATAAAATGGAGAGTGACCAATAAAGCTTTGTGTAACAAGAAGGCCCCGTTGAAACTTAAGGGGAAACTCTACAAGGTGAGTGTAAGGCCCGTTATGTTGTATGAATATGAATGTTGGACAACTACGAAAGAGCATGAGAGGAAGATGGAGGTCACAAAAAAGAGGATTTTGAGGTGAATTTATGGTAAAATGTTGTTGGGCTGGGTTCCCAGCTAAACAATTGAAAACTCGTTAGGAGTGATGACAATCAACGATAAATTATGGGAGTGAAGATTGCGGTAGTTTGGACATGTATGTAGGAGAAAACTAACTGTTGCATTTAGTAGGGTGAAGACCATTATTATGGACGGCGAGAAGAGGAGAGGAAGCTACGAACAAGACAATTAAATTTCAAACCTTTAAATTCAAAATTTAAAGTTAATAACACTAATCTCGTAAATTCCATACATGATTCATGAGTCATGAGTCATAAGCACCAATGCGAGTCTTTCTTCATTACTAAAACACTAAAACTATCACAATAAGCTTTACAAAAGAAGATACATATTACTATTTTCTAAACATTGATCTTCAAGCATATATAAAAGCAAATTCATTTATTATACTGTCATAATCAATATTTACAAGAAATTCGTTCTCAATCTAAATCAAAACCAAAAAGTTCAATCTCTTAAGACATGGTAGAACGAAAATAATATTTTAGAGGTTTTAGTTGTGAAAAGCTTATCTACGTTGTTGCATGTGTAATGAGAACGCTCAAAAATGTTTTGTATGCTAGACAATAATTGGATAAATGTTTATCATTTTTAAGAAATTTAGTATTATGTTATCTATATTATATTCAACTAGAATTTTATGTAACAATTTCAATCCGTTGAATAAATAGTCACAATGGATGTATGAGATGTGACAATTTGTAAAATCTATTCTAAGATTTTTGCAACATGGCTTTAGTTTATCAGTATTCGATGACTTTAACTTTTCTAGTGTGAATAAGAAATAAAAAATATCATTATATTGTTTGTATTGCTCAAACCTTTGCTCCAATGAACCGGTAGTTTGATTAATTATGTAAACAAAATACAGAATCCTCAATGATTTTTGGGTAAAAGTTCATGTACTAGTTTTGATGAATCAACATAACTCTCTTCAAAAGGTTTCATCCTTAAAATTTCTTTTAATATTTTTCTTACTGAACATCAAATTAATTCCTTAAATAAAAAGTTATAGCCTTGACATAATTCACAATCATCTCATAGTACTCATTGCCTCGTCAATATCCATTGTTTCAGATTGTAGTTGTATGCTTATATTATTTACTTTAACCAAGAAATGATAGTATATATTCAAACCGAATCTACAAAGTTCATACTCTTTTAGACACGGTTCTACTATTTCTAAGAGCTTGAGTCATTATTGTCTTCATACTTTCGACCCTACTTGATGCCCTTGTAGTTGACAAAGGTTTTAGATTTAGATTCTTTTTTGATAAAACATCTTTAAATTTTTTCTATTTTTTGTTGAATTAGTCTAAAAAAAGTTATCGTTTTTATAAGAATTTGTTATTTATGACAATGTCAAGTTAAGAGAATGATAAGCGAATAAAGTGTCTAATTGATATTTATAATATTTTAACAAAGTTAAATTTTAATTATCAATAAAATATAAATTAGATTAATAACATGTAACTATAATGCATTATTATTTTTATAAAATAAGTCTTTTAGTATTATAATACTAAAATAACATTTTAATCCGACGTCCCTTTGGATTTTAGTTTGAAAAACCACATAATATTATTGCATAAATAGTAATAATAATAATAAAAAAATAAAAAGCAAAACAAAACAAAACTTTATCCGAAATGATAGACATTAATATAGAACCAATTTATGAACCAACTTAGGAGGGTGTCCTTAACGTTTTTTTTTTTGTGTATATTACACCATTAAGGTTCTAATAACCGTTTATATATAGTCATTTAACCGGCTTCTTCCTGTTTTGCTAAGTTGGCATCTTATGTGTTCGGTGGCATGGCTATAACTACCAGATTCGCATAAGGTCCCATATTTTGTGCCCTAATTTGAAGAGTTGAAGAAGAAGAGAAGAAGATGTCGTCGCAAACCTCCTTTACCTCGACCTCAAACAACCGAATCATGTGCTACTGTGGGCTCCCTACTCGGATTCGAGTCTCCACTACACAACAAAATCCAGGGAAAAGATTCAGAACATGCCCTAATTCGTTGGTAATGTCCAATTTTTAAGATTGAAGCTTTTCTCTTTAAATCTTTATTATAAGTGTGTAAGTTATGACATTTATCCTAAAGCTTTGTTTTTTTTTTTTTCGTTTTTTATAGAGAGCAGGGAGAAAATGTGGATTTTGGGAATGGGTTGTTGAAGATCCGGTCACAGAGGAGATTTTTGGTCTTAGATATGAGTTGAATGAAATGAAGAAGAAGATGCATCACCATAAAGTAGCATTGATTGTGTTGTTTGTCTTGTTCTTTGTTAAGTTATTTTGAATGGAGTTATGATGCAGTAGACATCTTTTGAATATAAAGGGTACCCATAATTTTGTTATTTTGATTGTAAGGGTACCCATAATGTAATGAAATCATATGTATGAATGCAAATGAAGCTTTTGGTAATGAAATCTATCATTGTAATACAAACACCACTTTAAAGTGTATGATTCAACATCGAAGGGTAATATTGTCAACAACAATTATAATGAAGCAGTTAATTATATTAAAGGGTAGTATTGTCAACAACAGTTATAATGAAGCAGTTAACTATATTAAAGGGTAATATTGTCAACAATAATTATAATGAAGCAGTTAACTATATTAAAGGGTAATATTGTCAACAACAATTATAATGAAGCAGTTAACTATATTAAAGGGTAATATTGTCAACAACAATTATAATGAAGCATTTAACTATATTAAAGGGTAATATTGTCAACAATAATTATGTGACATCCCCAATTTCACGGCCAGAAAAGACCGATTTGTTTATGCTTTGTTTTATAAAATCAGAGTAATCTTTTGATTAAAAGAGTTGCGGAATTTGTTCCCAAAATAAAATATGATAAAATTCATCAAAACATTTCTCAAAGAGAATGTATTTTCATTAAATAAGAGAATGTATTTTCATTAAATAATAAAACCTTAGGATGTCATGTTCGATACAGACCAAAAGCATAAACAATATAAAATAGACCTTACAATAGTTATTCAACTACTGATCTATAATCAAAAATCTCTCAAGTTCACCAACTTATACCCTTGTGCCATTACCTGTAATGAAAAGAAAATTGAGTGGGTCAAGCTTGGGAGCCTGGTGAGCATATAGGGTTTTCAACCCACAATAATATAATTATTATATTCAATCATCAAACAATCAACCCAATTACCCATCCCCGTTATCTCCATTTATTTCTTAAGTACCGTCCCTAAGGAATTATCCTAAGGGTCATCTCCTATATCATATTTATCTCTCATCTCCTTACATCACATTTCCTTGTATGTTTGTTCCTAAGGACTTTTTCCTAAGGATCATCGCATGAATACGTAGTCACAACATTGCCTGGACTAGTAAGTCATAATAAGGGTTAGACTATCATCGCATGAATACATAGCCACAACATTGCCTGGACTCGTAATTCATAGTAAGGGTTAGAGTATCATCGCATGAATACGTAGCCACAACATCGCCTAGACTCGTAATTCA